CTATTTCAGACCTAGCCTGACCCACCCCCCGCCCAAGCACTAATGCACCTGTGCTGCTCCAGATTACTTGGTATTAGCTTTGTCTATATTTTGCATGTGCTATAATGTATACATAGTGTTTCCCTCTGGCAGAATATAAATTCCTTGAAGACAGTGATTACTTAATTTTTATCTGTGTATCCCCAATATCCATTAGTTCCTGGATCAAAGTAGATGCTTAATAAATGTATGGTGATGAATTGATTCAAGGACCTTATACCAACTGTTATTGAATCTTAATTAAAGGTGGGACTGAGAAATGAAAATATCTTACAATGTATTGTCAGCTTCTATAAAGATGAGAATATATCTGAAAGACTTCTCCTTTCAGTAGCAAACAAAAAAATGAGTAGTGCTGGAGATAGAGTTGATACCATCCTCTCATTTGAGTGAGAACCACAACCAGCCAATCCCAGAAAGTGATGACATACTCCTATTCTGGATGCTTGCATTTGTCCAGCTCTAACTTCCCTACTGACCACCAGTCTCAGATTTCCAACTGCCCATTGGACATTTTCAACTGGCTGTCTCACAGACATCTTAAATTCAGCATGTGCAAAACTGAATTCATCATCTTCCCCTTCCCCCCCCACCCCCCCACCCACTCCTTAAACCCAACCCTCTTCCTAGCTTCCCCGTTACCGTAGCGGGTGCTCCCTATCTCCTAGTCATTTGGGCTCAAAATGTAGGTGTCATCCTTGACTCCTCACTCTCTGAGCTCCATAACCAATCAATTGCAAAGTACTATTGTTTCAACCTTCACAACATCTCTTATGCATGCCCCTTTCTGTCCCATACTGGTCCAGACCCTCACCACCTTGCTCCCAGGTTATAATGATAGCCTTCTGAATGGTCTCCCTGCCATGTCTCTCCCCACTCCAGTCCATCCTCCATCCAGCCTTCAAACTGATCTTCATAAAGTGCAAGTTTGACCATCACACACACACACACACACACACACACACACACACACACACACTTTCAGTCAACTCTACTTACTTTCTATGGCTTTCAGTATTCCCCTTAATGCTAATTTCTGCCTTCTGTTGATTACTTCCAATTTATCTTATCTTGCATAGTTGCCTGCATGTTTTCTCAACCACCAGATTGTGAGCTCCTTGAGAGCAGGGACTGTCTGTTACCTTTCTTCATATTCCCAGCATTTAGCACAGTGACTGGCACATAACAGTCACTTAATAAATGCTAGCTGACTGACTGATTACAGGAAAAGGTTGCTACCATGTGGATAAACCCATAAAGTCGATAATGCCAAAATTATTTTCATTTAGCTCCATAATGCACATGTTTTTAAGAAGAGCACTAATTTTCCTTCTTAATGAAGCCTAATTCAGGCTAATATTAAAATAGGTTTGCTTGCCTGAGCTCATTCTTACTGACAGAGAGGGAAGAGGTCCCCAGAGGCTTGTTGGGGCAGGGGAAATTAGATTGGGGTTATACATATTACTATCTGTCCACAAGTTGGTTAATTTCCATGTGGATGGTCAAGTTAGTATTCTGTATGGTTATCTGTTTCCTAGAGCTCACATCATTTCAGACAAGAAAAAGAGATCCAGCCAATCTCACATGATAGGATTTAATACCCCACAGGATAGAATGAGTGTTATCCTATAGGACAGGGGTTCTTAAACTGTTCTGTGTCAAGGTAAAGCCTATGGGCACTTCTGAGAATAATGTGTTTAAATGCATAACATAAAATACATAGGATTACAAAGAAAACCAAATTTTTTTTTTAAATTTCACACAGAAGTTCTTAAGAAAGAACATAGCTCTGGTCCTTAATGTTAATGCCTTCCCTCTGAGATCATCTCCAATTTTTCCTGTTTATATCTTGCTTGTATGTAAGTGTTTGCATGTTTTCTCTCCCATTAGATAGTGAGCTCCTTGAGAGCAGGGACTGTTTTTCACTTTCTTTGTACCTCTTATACTTAGCCTGGTGCATAGTAGGTGCTTGTCAACTTGATCAAATAAATAGAAGAATTCCAAAGGTGACACAAATATACAGTGAATCAAATTCATGGAGCTGGAAAGGACCTTAGAGGTCATTTAATCTAACCCCCTTACTCTATAGAAAAGGAAACAGGTCCAGTGAGGCCTTTGCAATGGTGTCCCCCATATCAGGAACGTTCTCCCTTTTCACTTCCATCTTTTAAGATCCTAAGCCTCTTTCAAGATTTAGCTCAAACTTGGCATGGTATTATAAGCCTGTAATCTCAACTACCAAGGAGGCTAAGACCAGGGAGGCTGGTGGATGCTTTCAGCTCAGGAGTTTTGAGCTGTAGTAGGCCTAAAGCCAATCAAGTGTCTACATGAAGTCCAGCATTAATATAGTGAGCCCCTAGTGGGGAGGGAACCAGGGAGGAAGGGGCACTAGGCTGCCTGAGGAAGAACAGGCCAGTTCAGGTTGGTAGTGGAACAAGTGAAAGTTTCTGTGATCGTCAGCAGTGGAATCTGGCCCATGAGTGACTGCTGAACTTCTCACCTGTGCAAGATAGGGAGACCTAATCTCAAAAAAGACTTCGCTCAAATGCCGCCTTCCATGGTGGGCCTTTCTCTGTTCCCCAGCTGCTAGTATACCTTCCCCTCTAAGGTTAGTTTCCATCTATTGTGCATATATCTTGTATACACCTATTTATTTATATGTTGTCTCTCGCAACAGAATGTAAGCTCCTTGAGAGCCCGAAATATTTTTGCTTTGTCTTCATGTCCCCTTTGTGTCTTGCACATAAGAGGTACGTAGTAAGTGCTTTTTGACCTTTTATAGCTAGTAAATAGTATAGCCCAGGGTTCAAACTCACAAATGACAAGGAGCAGAGCTAGGGGTCTTCTACCCCCCAAGAGCCACTGCTCTTTCCACTGTACCACACTGCCTAAGGTATCTTCTGGTTTTAACAACACACTATGTTCTGTGTGCTAAGCTGGTCACTTTCTAGGGAACATGGGCTAAGAAGGAGGAGCTGGGTCATCTTTTGTTCCAGGCTTCTGATATTCCCACTGTTTAACCCCAAGATCCTGAGAACAACTTCCTGTTCCTCATTCAGCGAGCTTCTCTCGCTTCCTCCCAAGGCCATTCTCCATAACTTAACTCTCTCCAGGAAACTTTCTCTAAATAAATGAATACATGGATTGGCTGCTCCTACTTTGTACCCCACCAACCAATCAAACAAACAAACCACCAACAATCAGCCTGAGACCTTTGAGTCCCTTGAAGTATAAGGACAAAAGGAAGAGAGAGGCAAGTAAGATGTTGAAAGGAAAGACACAGCTATCCACATTGCCACCTTGAGAATCCTAGTTCCAAGAGCTATGACCCTCAGCTTTTCTAGAGTTGGGAAGGGAAGGAAATAAGAGAAGGGAAGTCTAGAAGGGAAGGGAATAAGGATTTGTACAGCACTTACTATGTGCTAGGCACTGTAGCTAAGTGCTTTTTACAAATATTATCTCATTTGATCCTTACCACAACCCTGCAAGGTAGGTGCTTTTATTATCCCCATTTTATGGGGCAGTTAGGTGGTGCAGTAGATAGAGTACTGGCCCTGGAGTCAGGAGGACCTGAGTTCAAATCCAGCCTCAGACACTTGACACTAGTTGTGTGACCCTGGGCAAGTCACTTAACCCCATTGCCAAGCAAAAAATAAATAAATATTATCCACATTTTATAGTTAAGGAAACTGAGGCAGAGGTTGAATGACTTGCTTGGGTTCATACAGCTAGTTAAGTTTCTCATGTTAGATTTGCACTCAGGTCTTCTTGACTTCAGGCCCAGCATTCTATCTACCACATCACCTAGCTGTTTATAGCCTTCTTTGTTTTGTTCTTTGATATTTTATTCTTCTACACCTTCTGAATGGCACACATACATTAATTTCCACATCAGAGTGGATCAAAATTAGTTTTATTTTGGGAATGTAGGCAGAAGTTCACAGCTCACCCCTTGACACGCTAGGGTGGCACAGAGCCAGGCCTGGGAGTCACAGTTGCAGAGGGAGGGACTTCTGTATGCTTTCTGCCCCATGTTTGGCATAGGGTGAGCCCTAAATGGTTATTCACTAGCGGCCAAGGCTCTGGAAAAACAAGTCAACTAGATAGGAGGGCCCTCTTCTCTCGTGTCCCTCCCTGGAAAAGGGGCAGATGAGGACATTAGTCCTGGCAGAAGTTATGGGAGGGGTCCTCAGACTGACACATTCTGATCCCTCTGGAACAGAGCCCCAAGCACAGTATCTGTCCTCCCCACTCTCAAAAATGGTATCAGTATGGGGAGATGTGGGTCTAGTTTCGGGGGAAAAACAAGAGACAGATTCACACAGAGTCTAGGATGATACTCGCTAGAGGGGAGGATGGAGACGAGGGGCATCACTGAGCTCCTTGTAGTGCGAACGACTGAGCAAAGTTTTATGTTGGCAAGGAATTAGTCCAAAGTCAGCAATCAAAGTCTGACCCACATGAAAGGAGTTTGAGCCTTGCAACAGAAGAGCTAACATCCTTCCACAGCTAGTCTGTAGCAAGTCACCATCAGACTCTCCAGATCTCTCTCCAAAGAAGTATTTAAGAGAACATTTGAGCGTATTAAAATTTCAAATAGTTTTCTCTAGGTCTCCTCTTGCTCTGAGGCCTTGGAAAGAAAGGCTAATGCTTTGTTGCAGGGTTTTTCCCTTAAACTTTCAGCCTCACCCCTGACAGCACTTTCTATTCTATCTTTGCAAGGGTCCTTATTTAAAGTCCACTTCTGATCCCCTCCTTCATATGTCTAGATACTTTCTCATTTCTAGGGCATCTCTGGCTCTGGTACGAAAATGCTTTCTTGATTAACCTCATTAAATTGTTCCATCTGGTTTCCCTGGGTGGAAACCCAGGGCATAAGGTTCCAGGTTTGGGGGTGGGGACAGGAGAGGCAAAAAATGAATTTCTCTCTGGTAGAGCTGTAAGGGGAGGGTCTCACTTACCCAGCAGCAGATTCATCAGGACCTCTTGCCCTGCAAGAGTGCTGCTCTTCACCAGGCAGATAATGGTGCCCCCAATCCAAGGGATCCCATGCCCTGTGATCCCAATGAGTTTGACCATAGAGCGGGCACTGCCCCAGGAGGCAGCTCGGTTGGCACAGACGCCCAGCCTCTTGGACATACAGATGTCAATAGCCAGCAAGGAGTTGAATGCAATTCCCCTGAAGGATGGGTTTAGCTGCATGCAGTCCTCTTCGGGCAGCTGCTGGGACTGCCTCCGCTCCTTGGACCCCTCATTCGGTGGTGGGGCCTGCACAGATGGGCCTGTCGTCTTCCTGCTGGAGCTCCTATTCTCCTGAGCCCCCTTTAAAGGCTGGTTCAGTGACAAGAACTCAGCCCTGTTCAGAACATTATTTCGGTCCCGTGCCCGGGACCTGCTTTGAGAGGCTGGCATGACGGCCTTGGATTGGCTCACAAAGAGAAAGGCCCTCTGCCCAAGATGAGCCGGGGACACCCCACTCAGATGGCTGCTCTCTCTCCCCCAAGCCAGGAGCTTCTATAAAGAACCACAATTCCCTCCTCTTGCAGACCTCTCCTGCACAAACCGCTGTAGTTAAATATAGAGTAGAGGAATGCACATGGCTGTTTACTTCATTGCTGCTACCAAGCTTGAAGGAAAAATTAATGCCAGCTTCGGTATCCAATCCAGCCCTGAAAAGCAGGGATTATGTCCAATGGACGTGCAGAAGAGGAGGGTGATTCTCCCAGCTGAGGTCTGATGGCTTTGGGCTTGGGCTATTTAAATCTTCCAATTGCTTCCAGTCTTTTAAGGAACTCTGGGAAATGTAGTTTTTTTTAAAAATCCTTTCTTGTTGTTGCTTCTTATGCCAATTAAAGTCTTTTTTTTGCAGGCCTAGCCCTGATAGTACTGTAAATCAGCATTTTCTTTGAGCGCTGAGAATTACAGGTGACCCAGGTTTATTCATGATTTCCTCAGCAGACATTCAATAAACTAGTCCAGCCTCCTTGCCTGTTCTAAGGGGGCTGTCCCAATCCCATGTAATAGATAGTGGAGCTGAGGCTAAGAGCCTCATGCCTGGCACTAGATGGAGTTAATGGGAGAGAAAGCATTACCACTCAAGTCTTCCTGGCCCCCAGCCCTGGCCTATGTCAATTCTGCCACACCCACCCTGACAGCATTTCATTAGACTGGCAGTCAATTTTTCCCCCTGGTATTAGATTTGGCTTCTGTACAACACAGCCCAATCTAATTGAAATTTGTAGGATTTGATTTCCATTAGAGAGAGGTGTGATAAAATGGTCTGGGTAATGGATTTACTCCCAAGAGATTCCTGCAAAAGCGTCAGAACTTTGCAAAAGTGCAGGAGCCTGACCACCAGCTCAGTAACAGTCATCTGGGGGTCCTGAATCTGCTTCTGGAGGAGAGTCCAACTCAGATCTATTCTTCCCTCTCCCCTCCCAGTCATGAAGTCAGAAGGGCCTAAAGTATTTTATTCTTTCACAAAATTGTGGCTTTTGTCCCATTTTAGGGGTGACTGAAAGATGAAAGTTAGCTTGTTTGGGATGAGTGAAATCAGTAGCAAAGATTAATCAGGCCTCCTGGCTCAGGATCCAGGAATCTGGCTGTTCACTTGTCAGGGAGACAGCTGCCTTGATAGCTGGACAGGTTAAGGAAATCTTTTACCTATCAGCTTCTCCCAAATGCTGCCTGTGGCCTCCCGGGAACACCATCCACTATCCTTGGGAAGAAGCAAGAGTGAAGCATCATGTAGTGCTCGGGGGAGTGGGGAGGTGGCCTATTGCCATCTTCACCTCTGATACTCTTTGTGCTTTGGAGTAAATTGCTTCTATTTGTGATCACCCCATCCAAAGAGTAGAGAGGAAAAGGGTCTCTCCATCTTTTGATCATTCCATCCCTAACTAATCTGGAGCTGTGAACAAGTCTTTAGTCACCTGCCAGACCTGATGAAGAGAGGTGGAACAGAGCCAGGCCTGTAGGTATCTATATGTACATCTCTTCTTCCCCTCATTGGACACTGGAGTTTCAAATATACTTCGAACTATGTAAGAGATGGGCTTTCTGGTGATACAAACATGGATACTTATCTAGCAATTTCCCCACCCTCTCCAGTTGATAACAATGGATAATATGTAACTAAACAGGCTTTCTCAGGTTTCAGAGATGCTCCTGGGAAGCCTCTTCTCAAGATTCGACTGCAAAGTCCAGCTCTTCCATGGGGTGGCATCTCACTCTGTCCTCCTTAGCCACCCAAATGTAATCACAGCTACCAAGGACCATATGACCCTACTGGGTCTCAAGAGAAGACGGAGAAACCTAGCCGTTTTGGGCTGTTGCTATTAATATCCTGACAGCATGTGTCAGCATCTCAGGAATGACTGGATGCTGCTATAGACAGGGTGTGGGGACAACTGTTGTCTTGGACCTCGGGGAGATGAACAGCTGGGGGGCAGAAAGCCAGTTCTGCCATGGTCTCAGGGGGTGACTGACCTCAAGAAATGGGCTGCCCTGTATGCTGCTGAAAAAGTGGGAATGCTAATATTGAGCTACTTCATTCTGGGCTGATTGCACAAATGTAATCAATCAATTGACTCTTTATTGAATATCCACTAGGTGCTAGGAACTTGTGAGGGAGACAGAATGAGTTTGAGATATGGTCCCATTTTCCAAGAACTTACAGACAAAACTCAAATATGTGAGACAAAAAAAGTAAATGATACAAGTTTGTATAAAAAAGTGCTGGACAGTGTGGTACAGATTATTAGTGCTAAGTAGGATCAACTTATCAGAGGCAGAAGGGTACAGTATACAGTGGGGTATAAGAGTACAGTGAAAAAAGCTTTGGATATGTCAGAGGAACTGAGGTTGAATCCCGATCTTGCCACTTACCACCTGTGTTATTTGGGCAAGTTACTCAACCTCTCTAGGCCTTACTTAGTTTCCCTCATCTGCAAAACAAAGTGCCAGACTAGATAAGCTCTAAATCTATAAGCTAAGATTGTTCTCTCAGATCCATATAAATAAATCACCATAACAACTCATATTTACCTAATAGTTTAGGGGTTACAAAGTGTTTTCTTCACAAAAATCCAATAAGGTAGAAAATGTAAATGTTGTATTTTCCATTTTATAGATGAGAAAACTGAGGATGAAAAAAGTGAAGAGACCTGTGGCCACAAAGATAATAAGTATTGGCACCCTGAGACCAGATAGGATCAGCAAAATCTCATCTTGAAATTCTTGAATTCAGTCATGTCTGACTCTTCGTGACCCCATTTGGGGTTCTCTTGGCAAGGGTACTGGAGTGGTCTGCCATGTCCTTCTTCAGTTCACTTTACAGATGAGGAAACTGAGGCAAACAGGGTTAAGTGACTTGCTTAGAGTCACACAACTAGTAAATGTCTGAGCCCAGATTTGAACTCAGGAAGATGAGTCTGCTTGACTCTAGGCCAAGCACTCTATCCACTGTGCCACCTAGCTACAATTCCTAGACACTGGGTGGGTGGGGGAACAACCCACTACCAACAAAACCAAACAGAATCATAGAATGTTAGAGATGAAAAGGAACTTGCTAGACTTTGGTAATGGGTACAGCAGAAATGAAGAAAAAAGGTAGGGAGAGGAGCAATGACGCTGAGCTAGTGCTGAATTCCAGTTTCATTCGATTGCAGTTCATAGGCTGAATTGAAAATAAATCACCAAGGGAGACAAACACAGTTTATGGGAAAAGGAAGGGAAAGGAGAGAGACTGAGTTTGCCTTAAATCCAGGGTGGAAGCCATACACCTGCGCAGCAAACAAACAAAACGGAAAAGGAATCTATATTAAAGTATTATTAATAACTATCTTCCCTTATCCCAGTCCCTCCCCATTCGAGTGTTGTTTTCTCAGTTCAGATTTCTAAGGCTGCTGCTATTGGGTTATTTCAGTCCAGAAATCTGATCCTTCCCTAGGTTTATTTTAGCACCTTGGAGAACTCCCAGTGCTGCCACGGACCTTTGGATGTGGGCATGCCTTCTCTCTCTGTCTCTCTCTGTCTCTCTGTTTCTCTCTCTCTCTGTCTCTCTGTCAGTCTGTCTCTCTGTCTCTGTTTCTGTCTGTCTGTCTCTCCTTCCCTTTCTCTCTCTCTGTCTCTCTCTCTATCTCTCTCCCTCCCTCCCTCCTTCCCTCCCTCACTCCCTCCTTCCCTCCCTCCCTCTCTCTGTCTCTCCTCTCCTCTTTTCTCTTCTCTTTTCTCTTCTCTTCTCTTTTCTCTTCTCTTCTCTTCTCTTTTCTCTTCTCTTCTCTTCTCTT